CTTAAGATCCTATTCAAGATCTCTGATCTTCGCGTTGACAATGCTCTTCGAGTGACCAAATGTCTCCCAAAAGTGTTTATTACAATTTGTGCGTATTATAAGATGTTTCTCTGTGAGACTTCTGAAGTCTTCCAAGGACGTTCTCTTCCATTTTACGCCTTCGTACTCTTTCAGGTAGATTCTTTTGATTTGACATATCAGTAATTTTTAATCCAATTCTCTTTGAGCTATCATCTACTATTGGAGACTTTTATTTTATTCAACAGTTTTGAAGTCCCGCAAAACTATTCTCTTTGATTTGTTACCTTCGGTATTTGCAACCGGATTATCTTTCTTCTGAATGTGAATGGTGAATTCCCTTTTCGTTTCGAATGATTTGATAGTATTCATGCATTCATGTTGCATTGATTCTGTTTGTTCTGTTTGTGCTATTGACAGTGCAGTGACGTGTTCCTTAAACATACGTTTGTAGTTTTGTGTCGTTCATTAAGTATTGAATGATTTAGAACTTACAAAAGAGTAAACAAGTAGTAAATATTAATAATAATTGTTAAACTTAATTTGTTTGCCTTAATTAATGTATTACAACAATACAAATAAATGTTAATCACTCCGTGGATAGCCCACTGAGCCACAAGGTACTTGCATTACAACATTCTTTTAGACAGAAAATAAGAAATCTCAACGTGAAAACTAACTACTCATAAAAAGAGAAAAATCTATTTCAATATGGTTGTTTGAGATTGTATTTTGTGCTGTAGACTACGTAGAGACTCTATTGAAATACATTTTTACTTTCTCGCTACGAACTAGAGAGAAAGTTATGTAATACTGTGCGAAAACGACGAATTTTCAACAGAAAAACTCTCATTATATGGCCCCCGCAACGAAGAAATGGATAAATCCAGTTTCTAAATTTAGGAAAAACATCCTCTTAAAGCGTGATGTAGCCATAATCCATTTTTATGGGTCTTTGATATTGAAAAGTCTATTGACGACAAAACGTCTGTCTGTACGTCATCCTTTAAACAACCCTAGCGATTAAATTGATGTTCTCCAAAACTGATATTCCACAATCAATCTACTTGATGTAACGACCCTTTGAATTTGAAACATATTTTAATTTTGAAGGGTATTTTACATAGAGCTCCTGGGACATTTTCCAAATGAAAAAAATCCGTCGTCGTGTTCCTTAAAAAACTGATTTTAATAATTTGGAGAATCTCTTAATACAGTTAAAAACATCAAATTGCAAGATATACAAAGATAAAACGAAGCTATGCCAAACACCTGTAAATATTTTCGTCACATTTTGACAATTGATATCGATTGATGAATCATGATTGATGAATCATTTTGACGATTGATGAATCAAAGATAGCGCTGACGAACAAATATTACAGCAGGATTTAGAGCATTTACGTGATTGGGCTGA